TGTCAAAGGGAAAAAATGAACATGCGAAGTTGAGACTAATTTTACTTGTGAAGAATCATTATCTTCAGGACATAGATCTGATATGTTGACTATCTCTTTTAATGATGAAAGTGATTTCGAACCAGTTCGCAAATTATGCCGAACATTCTCATATAGCGACGATAATTCTAAAGAAAACAATGTGAAGAAAGATTAACTTTCATACAAATTTTCTGTATTTTTTTTTGTAAAATTTTTCCGTATAAATTTAGAAGGAACATGTTAAGATTATATTTTTCTGAAATTTAATAAACTTGTCTATGATTGTTAACGTTTTTATAAAATTATGAATAAACATTTCAGAAAGAATATAGTAAGACTAATTATTTTTCTGAAATTTAATAAACCCTTTTTCATGAGATTTTCGGTATATTGTAACTCATTGATTTAGTTTTATGCGGTTTTAAAAAATTATGTAACGTATCCTTTATTTTTGTGCGATTTATTTTTATGCGTTTTCCTGTGGAACGTATGTACCGCATAAAAAGAGAACCAAGTGTACATACACACAAACTAGATGCGTCACTAATAATAATAATAAGGAATGTGTGTCCATGAATTATTGTTTGATCTCTGGTTGGACTAATTTCAAATTTATGAATTAGGTCAATTTCTATTTAAAAGCAATTTAGTTTAGATTGGTACCAATAATACGAGCTTGTTTTGTTTCTATTAAGAAAATCTTTATCGACGTCATAATTAGACCTATCAAAGTATGCGTTTATTTAATATCAAATTAGAATATTTATATGAGTTATTATGTTTTTTCATGAGGGGTAATATTTTAATACATATTAATAAAACTATTATGAAAGTATTGCATATTGTACTTAATAGAAAGATAAGAAAGGTGGACATTTTATAAGCGTAACCCTTTTTCAGGAAAAGTATTCAAATCAATTTGAAGTTTGATAATGCGCTTGTTAGAAAAAAAAGTTTATAAGGAAGAAGAAGCGGCGGCAATAAATCGTTGGATTTACGCACCGTGGGCTTGCAGAGCAACCGAGATAAAGCTTAAATAGATGTTGCCTTTATGTATCTCATTCAAGCAGAGTTTAATACTGTTGAATACAACAACTTCGCCCTTCTCATCTTAACATTTCTTTTTGTGTTGCCACTTCTTTCTTCTTCCTGGCTTTATTAATGTATTATCACACCTTTTGTAAGTTTTTGCACTCGAAAGCGCTTTTTGCAAAGACTTAACGGCGATCGCAACAAAGTAAAAGATGCAGCCTGCATTTAAATTAAAAGCTCCTTCCATGCACATTCCGAATGTTCGCGTACATTTCACGCTCACAAAAACTAAATTGCGAAAGCTTATTTTTATGCACCTGTGGAGTCGTTCGCCGCACAACATTACGCAACATTTTGGTTGAAATGTTGATGAACAAATAATGGCGAGTCTCTGGTTTAATGGCCTCATGCCAACACAACCAGTGTGGGGGAGGAAAGGAAGGACGGACGCATTAAAGATCGCCAGGAATTTTTAATAAATACACAATACGGGATCTCGTAAAATATTTGTCTTTCCGCTAGCCTGGATACCAAATGAATGCCATGAAGACGGTTTATTCACAGTCGAAGTTTCATCTAAGATTATAACGTTATAATATACTTAGTAAATTGTAGTCGATCCATATAGAAGTGATTTCTTGGAAATCAAATAATTCACTTACTTCTTCTATAGCTTCATAGTTTTCTATATTTCATATCATTAATAATTGTAATTAGAAAATATATATATTTCTGTACTTGTTAGAATATATGATCAATATAGTTGTTATGTTATTAAATTAATTGTAGTGTGTTTGTGTGTGGTCTGGGAGTTGATTGTCGACTATGGAAATGGTGTACATGCGTCGCGCATTCAATGAAATAATTAGTTGGAAATATTTGCGAATTATTGCAGCTGCATGAGTCAGTTCGTTGTAATGGGCCGTAACAATCGATCAGATGGTAAATACATGCAAGCGATTTGGCGACTACCATCGAAAATTAAATGTAAACACACTTGCCTGCCTAATATTCAAATACGTTCTGGCTTTAACGGCCCTCTCTACATACATATATATTGTGTATTTAGAAACGTTCAGCTTTATTCTCACACAAAATTGAAAAGCGATCGCCAAAAATTTCCATTTCCCCACCGCCCCAAAGTTAATACTTTTATGCATTCATCTGCGTAAAATTATCTTTGAATTGCTTTATAATTGTCAAATGAACAATTAAAAAACACTTTTGAAAACTTTCTATTCTTTTTTTGTTGATCAATTACTCAATATGTACGATTTGCTAAATTTAGATCAAAATTAATTGAATTTATTTTATGTTTGAAATTCAATTATCATTTTGAAAATAAACATTTAAAAAAAATCAACCGCAACAAACACATGTTCTGCATGTTGAAATGCGTTATTATTTAAAAAAGAAAATCTCATAAATTGAACCAATTACAGATGTTGAAAGAAGGAAGCATCGGTTGCTATAATTACTTTGAGTGANNNNGAACGTCGATTGGAATTAATTAAGAGAATTATGGCCCTAAGAAAATCCCCCTTTTTGGCGGACTCGAGTGTCTTCAGAAGGGGGAAGGTTAAAAAAATGAACTGTTAAGACGTCTGGAATGTATTATTCATAAAACTGTGGCGCGTTTTTCTGCTTCTTCTTCTTCTTCTTCATCATCGTCTTCCTCTTCGTTTCGTTCCAGATATATACAATTTTCTTTTTGCTTTTTACGGCGGCGGCTTTTAGCCGAAACACTTGCTTGCGTGCGTTTATTCTCCGTGTCTTTTCTTCGGCTCAAACTGCTCACGGATGAGATTTTGAAAGTTTAATGCCTCTGTCCTTCTTTCTGAGTCTGAAACGGAGATGCCGGATTTTTTAATACGCAACGCGAGAATAATATAATAAAAAGAAATGAGGGGGGGCGAAGAACGTTCTCCGGCTGTTCCACTTTTTTTTTTCTCTTTTTCATTCTTGTCTCTGTTTTAGGGAAGATCCATTATGCTGGGATCAAGTTTGGATTACGCCTGTTAAAGATAATAGGGCAATTAATCATAATCCTGCTTAATTTTCAGAAATATTTCATTTGTAACACAGCTTATTTCCAGTTTTATTCCAGTAATTGCAACGCTGCGAATCAAACCTTCGTCCCAAATCAAAATCTTTTATTTAAATTTAAAACAGAATAAATAGACATGACTTTAGCGTTAATTACCACCGTTTTTTGTAATTGTAATCACCAATTTTCAGGAGAATTTAAACCATACATCATTACATAGCTGCAAATATCTTTATAAAGATGATATTACTGATGTTTGGAGTGAAAACAAATTTGTTATTTGCTGCAATTTCCTGTTTGCTTTTGCTTATACTTGATCTACATTTTCGTATTCCGTTGTAAAAGCATTGGCTGCATAAATGCATACCAATAATAGCATGCAAGCGCCTCGCTTTTAGGCGGACGGACACCTCTGACTTTCGAATTCGCTCGTTTACGAAAACACGGCGGCCGACAAAGGAAGAAAATAATCGGGTGTAAGCCAAAAAGAAATAAAGAATAGCAGTCGCCGTACGCTGGAAACAGGAAATCATATTTTCTGCAGACATTTTCAAGAATATTTTGTCTCGCACTCTTGCCGTAGTTTTCATTATTCATACTATTCTTCGTAGAAAAAAAGCATCTCCGACATCGAATATATTATACATATATTGTAGAAAAAAAGTGGAAAAAATTTGCGTCTCATTAAAATGTATTAAACCCTTTCTAGCCCAGTGATTCCAATTGGAATCATTAATTGCAATTTTGTCTTTCGACAATTAAAACTGTTGGATGAAACTAATGTAAATTGAAGCTAGATCTATTTTTAGTAAGTAATATTGAATAATGAAAAAAAAAAAACAGGTAAGATGTTTTTTTTATGATTAAGTAAGTGCTTTTATAAAAATTTAATTAAGGGTTAAATCCGAAAAATATTTAATATGAATTCAATTAAACTCAATAATATGCATATCAACTCTTGGAATTTCATAAATGTAATAATAATAATAGAAGTAATTAGTAATTTCCAACTCGCTTCCGTTTTCTTTCTACTTTTCAAGTCGAAAAACATAAGGTTGCAATCAATGGAAACTGTAATTGATGATGATATCGCCGGATTTTCTATCTACTTATTCATTATTATATCACAAACTAGTAAACAGTATTTCACGAATCAATATTTACATA